AACATGACTCGGTTTATGTTTTGGTACGTTAATAATAAGATTGTTTTCAACCTTATTTCGTATATGTTTTGGGAAAAGTCCGAGTGGGAGCATTCAGAAAAAACAGTTATCCCGTTTTCAGGCCAAAACCAGGCAATTAATCTATAAAAAACATTTTCTATTTTTACTATTATCTCAAGCAGTATAGCCATTCTTTGTTGCGCTACATGACTTTTATTTCTTATGATAAAATTGCATTTTACCTTCGAGTAGACGGATTTTCCGCAAAAAAATGGCCCGAGTGGGAACATTTAGCAGGTGCGCGATGTCGTAGTATACTACCATTGTCTTATAATTTGTTTTCGATGCAGTTGTGTTATGTTTATTTTACTTAAATATATTGAGTTCAATTCTATAGATAAGAAAACAAATCATTGTCAGAATGTCTTAAATTGGCAGTTTGGTTTGTTGTTGTTATGACTTGCTGTTTTTATTGTTTACACATAAACTCATTTTCAAAATAGAATCATTCTTGAATAAACTTAATTCCTTAAAAAAAGCTCTTTACAAAATAGTCACTTATAATTACTATTATGTGATTAACTACTTCATGTTTATCCCATTCTCGAATACTTTGATAAGTTTTAAAGTGATTTAGTAAGCGTATTGTTTAAAGTATACTGTGTATTTTGTATCTATATAAAATGTAAAAGTTACAAGCAATGAATTTTTAATTTTCACTTATATTTCATGTGTTTGAATTAATATCGAAGCTTGTGTAATTACTGAAAAGCAACTCTTAGCAAGTAAATATGTACATGTATATATATTTACATTTTTGTGTCTGATTACTAATCTTTAGTAAAGAAAAGTATTAAGGGTGTAAAAGAAGAAGTGTAGTCAGCTTATCTGACAATTTATGTGCAATATTGAAACACTTAAAATATAAAATCATAGTCAACTGACTTAAAGCAGTTTGTGCCTTTAAATGGTATTTAGATACAAACCAAAGCATAAAAATATTGTAATAACTGTTGATATTTGTCTGAGTACATATTAAATATTCGATCCCATTTCGGTTCTGTAGTTCATGAGAATTATTATGGAGTATATACGTTTTGAAAAGTCACACTAGCCTTATGTAGATTTCTCCCTCACAGCTGCAATATCACAAACGGTTAAGAGTGTGCTTAATGTATAGAAAGTCTTCGGTTCAATCCCTACTATTGCAATTGTTTTAGACATACTATTTCTTTATTTCTGCCGTATATTTTACTGGAAATAGCCGAGTGCTTCCGTAATTAAGTTCGTATAAAAAGCAACTTAGAAACACTGTTACTCGATTTGTATTGTGTTTTTCGGCATTGAAATGACATTAATGAATTTTAAACGGAACTAACTTTAAATTTTAATTAAAATAGAAATAAATTAAGAATCCCAATTTAAGATAAACAGAATTGAAAATGTTGCAGGCTCGGTTTGATTGAGCCTGTTCATGGACGGTAATGGAAAGTGTAAGTTACCGTGCAAGCACCCTAGCACTGACTTAAGCAGAAATCAATATTATATCATGATAATGGTGAAATTTTGAATTTAGAAACATCCGCAGATGTGTTCAAACGGCGGTTATCAAGGAACCTTCAATCTGACACTTTCGTGCCATTACATGAAAAGCGGCGTATTGTCTCCAAGTAAAATAATGTGTGTGCTCTAAACGAGAAAACAATGGGCGGAACTAAATAAAATGGAATTTTGAAAAGGATCAGAGGTTATGAAGCCTGCAAACTTCAAACTTGTTATTTACAAAGAGTGTGGACTTTACCAAAATAATTGCAAAACAGATTTAAACAATTACAAAAAAACAATCAAATAATTCAATTAATTCGAAAAATAGATAATAAAACATGGACCTTGTGGTTTCGATCTTACAATACGTTGGTATAATTAATTAACGCTCAGTAAAATACTTAATCACATCTTACTGGAACTAACCGAAAATCTATCGAAGTTAAATATATTGTGTGCATTGACCGTACAAATAATCAGAATGCAATTGGCAGGTAAACAAAATCAAACAAAACTTCTGGTGAACTTAGCGATTTCATTGATTAAATGGTTTGCAAGCCAAAACTGCTGATTTTGATAAATTCTACTTTTTATTAAGTACATGAAAAGATCAGTTTTCCGTTATTTGTTTTAATCCAATTGTTCACTCTGCTCTGGTTATGCAACTTTAATTACAGATTCTATACAATGCATAATAATACACTTAAAATGATAGATTATCTAAATATATCAAACAAAAAGCAAAGAAATATTACCATATCCTATTGAAAGTTTGAGTTGAATCATTTTCATTCATTACATTGAAATGTCCATTATTTAAGTCATCAAATTTTCATGAATTGATATTCAGTCTGTATTGATATTTCAAAGTTGGTTTCTGTTTATTTTGTCAACATTTATAATTGTTATGTTTTCACTTTCTTTCATATGTTTCGTCTTGCGTATTACCGTTTTTATGGGTTTTTTTTGTATTGTTTAGCAATATTTAGCGGTAAATTCAGCACAAATATTGATGATAGTGCAGTTTTTTATACTTAAATCCATAATAACGACCTGGTATCCTAATGGTAGGTAAAATCAGAAATGTAATCGTGTGGTTGCAATTTCGAATTTTCTTCTAACAATAGTTTAAATATTTCTGGAATTGGTTATATCATAAAAAGGCATGCTGCAATGGATTAATCACTTGTTGAATTTTTAGCGTAATTGTGGGTTTGATTTTTCTCTAATTTTTAGTTTCATCACTTTGATGAATATGTAAATTTTATTATTTTAACATGTAAAATTACATAACAACATGACAGTCAGGTTTGGCAAAATATGATTAAAGAAAAAAGTTTAAAAAAATGCTTCATCAAGATTTAAACCTAAAACCTTTAATATCAAACTAAATTTCTAACACATTGCCACTGAAGGCAAGTACAACGATGGTAATATTAAGATACACATATACAATTGTGCAATAAATCCATAAATAACTTTGAAATCCAGTTATTACTGACAAACGGTAAATTAGTCTCAAATTTGCCAGGTTATTTACAAAATGATAAGTAAACTTATTGGAATGAATATATCACAATAAACGAGTATAAAATGTAAAGTTGGTAACAGACCCCTATCAATGTCTGCACAGGCTATTTCTAAATGAATGTGAAGTTAAACAAAGCGGAAAGATTTTTTAACATGTCTCTTCATAGGAGAATGTGCAAAGATATTTTATTAAATTTAACTGTGAAATCATCAAAACATATCATAGTATTATCCATAAGCTATTAATAAGTAATATACAGTTATATTAAGCTCCAAACACTCTTGTACTTTGAGAGATAAGATGTGACATGTTTTAACAAAATAGTTATTTAAATGTAATGATGTATTTGTTGATAAATTATTTATATAGTAACAGTAACACAAATCTAATAATAAGGATGGGACTGTATGACTCTTGTAATTAACGTTGTTACAATTAAACAATTTTTTTACAACAAAAAGGAAAATGTATTTGTATATATACTTGAATTGCACGTCTTTCTTGGTGAATTCAACAACTGTTGAAGCAATGAAGAGTACAAGCTAAGGAAAACCTATGTTTGTCTTTTATTTAAGTGACATAATGCTCATATTTTCATTGTAAAGTTGAGCTGAATTGACTATTATATTTCAAAAGATTGACTGCTATAATGGTGATTAAACAAAAATTTTGGAAAATATTTTGAATAAAATAAAACCTGTCTAAAATATAAAAATACTGCCTCACCCTTTTTATAATTTGAAGATTACATGTTAATTCTGACATATATTAATATAAATTTCCTTACCCCACATGAGTTATTTATTATTCATGCAAAGTGAATTATAACATTTGAAAACAATCGTGGCAAAATGTAAAATTATTTTGACTTTTACCTGTTCTCTCACTTTAAAGCCTTGGATATGCATAATGTCACTTTAATTCGCATATATATACATGTATTATTACAAAAAAGTCATTCTAAAATATATTGCTGTCTAACCAATAATTGATTTGTCAGTTTCCCTAGGAAAAACACAAAACACTTAATAGAAAGTTTAAAGTGAAAAAAAAAACAAATTATCAGTCAATTTCCTCTTGATTTATGGTCCATTTCCATAAGAGTTGTAACATAGAATGTCTATGGTAAAATAAAATGTTCCTTGACAAAATATCATGCAGCAATTTTAAGTAGGATAAACCTTTCAGCGATGATAAGTGCATGCGCAGTTTGCTTTTGGTTTAAACATATTTATTTAAGCTCGATTGCGAAACAAGTTCTTGCAACTTATATTAATCACTTTCGAGTCCGCTTCCTGGAACCAACCAGTACTGGTGTCATATGAAGAAACATGGTCTTGACCCGAGTAGGGCTCGAACCCATGATCTCTGGGTTGAGAGGCAGACACCTTAACCACTAGGCCACCGCTCCCCTCAGTTTGCTTTTGTGGCAATATACTGACATACTTCTATTAAACAAGCATTTGGACGTATTCTCTTTCAGAATTAAACAGATATAGAGTTTTTACCGAATATGTTTGGAGAAATTTTGGAACCACTGCATAAAAATAAAAAAAAGGAAACGCAAGGGCACTAATCATTTCCCCTGCCAGTCCCCACGTGGCTGAGCAGGTGGTCGGGCGGAGTTACAAATGAATTGATAATTAACAAACATATGTACATGAAATATCTTTCCTTCCCATCGGTAATCTATTTTGTAAACTTACTTTAACCTAATTCGTTTGTTTTTTTGTAATTTGTCAAAATGGTTCGTTCCAGGTTATCTCATTCAGAAAAAACAATGCATAATTACACTGTTTGCACTATTTGCAAATTCCTGGACCTGTAAACTATAGCTAATCGCTAATCAAACGCACATTTGCTTTAACATGTTACTATGAATTATTTATCATTAGATTATATTCCTCTTTTATACCACTCTTTTCAAAATTGCACTGATCAGACGCATTTATATTGCAGAACGTACGACATTTGGATAAATGGTGCTCAGATTTAAGCAGAAAATTAAAAGATAATTATGGAATTTATGATGGTATGTTTTAGCTATCATTTAGAAAATAATTAATTGTTCCTAATATATTTCCAATATATTGCTTTAAAGTTTTTTACTGAGCTTTTTTTTTACTTTAATTTAAAACTGAGAAAGATATTGAGAAACTAAATTTGAGATGCCCGCTTATACTTTAGACAGCCTACTAGGGCCTAAATGGTGCCTTTATCCATACCCGCGGTGTGAGGCTATAAATATCACATTTTGACTCAAGGTTACAATGAAATGGTGTTGTTCGTCCGTCTGTCCGTAGTAGCAGTTTTGTTTTATGAAACTATGGAACCAATAAGTAACAGTTAATTGTCTTTGATGTTATTCAATATGTCAGAGATTTTAGTGACTAATATGGTTTTATGTGGATAAAATCTTAGATTCGGTTTGAGCATTTTTCTTGAATCTTGTCAGGTATGTGTTCTATGGATCGCTTTTATCCCTACACCATTTAGCCATATCTATGAAGAAGGAAGTCGATCACCAAATTTTGCCAAAATCTTTAAGTGTTTCATTTATTTTTAAGATAGCTGTTCAGGCAATTTTTAGAAAAATCCATTTTGGTCATACTTTACATAAGAACCGGACAATGTTTTGGCCCGTAAATATCGCTTAAAGTTTGGCGCCGGACAAAGTGTTTGCATATGGCAGTGGAAAAGGGTTCTTATTACAATTACAAAAATAACAAATGAAAAAAAAGCAATTTGTCTGTATCTCTGGCCATCTGAGTACTTATTTATTTATTTATTCATTCATTCATTCAATCAATCATTCATTCATTCATTTATTTCTTATTTATTTATTTATTTATTTATACATATCATATCGAAAAATAAGTTTGTAGATTTTAACATTTATAAAGTTATCATTGTCCTTTTGATTAACAAGAACTATAATTCTTCTAATTTGAAATTTATTTTATATATATTTTTACATATTTGATATTTCAACAATGGAGATATTTATTAAAAAATAAAACTAAAAAAGTTTTGCACTGAATGAATAAGTGTTTTGTATAAACGAGATTTCAGCAAGAAATAAGATATATATTATGAAACTACGTGTATGTCGTATAATTTATAACCTTCTAAGGTTTGTATACAGGTATATGTTCATATAAAAATAAATGTCTTTCTTTATTCCAAAACTAAAGACCATGATGACATGAGCTCATAGTATTTAAAGTAGAGCGTATTTGATCTCGCTATAAAAATACATTCAGGCGAATATTAAAGAATATTATATGTACAGGTTCTCTTTTATAAAAAGTATACATATCATACTCCTAGATAAAAACCGTCCAGTCCCAGGGTCGGTGTCTTTACAAAAACCTAAATGGGACATGATTTTATAAAAGCCTCCTTACAAAGATAAGGAGCCAGAGTGATCCCTCGGAAGCATTGATAACAACAATATTACATGAAAATTACAGAGGTCTGTACATGAGATATAATGAAAAAGTATCAATATCCCTCACACCCCTACCACCGGCTTGAGCGGTCCTCAATTTTCAACACTTAAAAGTACTGGAATTAATAATCCCGAAGGACCACAAAAATATAACAACACTGAAGTAAAGTAAGCCAATGAAGAAAGTTATTTTAGTTTTGCCTAAAATAGTGCTGGGTAAAATCTATAAAAATCATGTATCTAGTGCCAAAATAGTGACGTCTTTTAAAAATGAAAATAAACAATGTTATTGATATTTGTTGTTGTTGTAAAAAAAGCATTAAGTTATGTAAAGATATTTGTTATGTAGCAGTTACTTTTAGACATCTACAAGTATTATTTTCGATTGGAATTCAGGTAAAATGATGACCCATTCCGAGAGAATATATTGTTTAAGTGAAAATAGCATAAACATATTTCATTTAATAGAAAAACCTTATGTAATAGGCATTTGCCTTAAACTTGCATAGCGAATTGTCTTGCATTAAATATAACACAGTAATTTTTTCTTTATGCTTTGTAACATAGATATTCGCGTGTCAATGAAAATGGAACACTAATGCTAAGATCCTTCAACTTAATAACAACCAATCAAATAATTGATCATTTCATTGAAATTCATTATTCTGCTTATCAGGGAACGTGTTTGTATGTAAATGATGTTAAATGATGTCATAAGTTTTCAGTTTTGCATCGTCAGTGCAAGTTTGAGACAACTTTTGCGGGGGCTTTTTATAATAACTTGTAAAAAAACACCTATTTTACAGATTTGTCTGTTTAAATGTTTGCCTTGAAATTAAAATTAAATATGATTTTAGAATTTGACGTTTTATTCAAGTTTACATCTGTTGTTTTTCTACATTTTGCATTTCAGTCTTTATGCTTGTACAATTTGCTTTTTCTAAAGAAGCGAATTATATCCATTCCTGATGCCTTTGAAGTAAATTATCAATCTCTAACGCAGTGATCTCCACTTATCAGTACAGAGATCTCTGCCATCACAAACAATTTATCAACATTTTGATAAAAAATTTATTTTTTAGCTTTTGAATTTTTTTTTCATTATTTTGTACACTTTTGATAATTCTCTGATAAACTATAAATAACGTAGTTACGAAAGTTAAAAGAGAAATGACGTTAAATTTTCTATGTATCAGTCGATATTTACATTTAAATTTTGACTTAACGTCATGTGACTTTCATCATGTGACGTCTGCGAAGGCAGTGATTACAATCTGCAAAGGGAGGTAATCACTATTGGGAGTAAGGTAAAAAATACACCCTTTCATTATGCGATAAGTGTCGGAGAAGAGTTACATGCCTTACCGGATGTTGTAAATGGGGTATTATACTATACAGACCGCATAGAATCTTAGCTTATTGAAATTCAAATCCGTAAATACTGATCGTTCAATTTTGATTATAACATGAAAAAATATGCATACATAATAAATTCCATATCAAAACGATAGAAAAATACAAAACCAAAAATTACAGCGGAATTTCAAAGTGAATGTATCTTTTAAATTTTCTCTTATGACAGGATAAAAAGCTAGTAACATAATTTTATAAAACAACCAAACACACTGAAATTACCTATTTAATTGGTCATGTTTACTTCTCTGCGTGATTTTCTGTCATTTACAAAATTAATTTTTTGTGACAAACATGAAAATAAGGGTGTCAATGTTTTTTAGGTTCTTCTTCTTTTTCTATGTAAAATGTAAAAGTGTTTGACCTAACAAATAGACATTTTTCGTTGCGATTATCTTGTCTTTTGGAATGATTGATTTCTGATAATTTGCATATTGTCCGGTGTAAAAGATTGACTTATCGATTAAAAGATTAAATGTAAACAATAATAAATAAGACCATCAAGCGGGACCTCGCTCGAATTCAGCAGAATTGTGGACTTTGAATAAGAAGAGAAGAATGAATCAAATACAAAAAATAAATAACAGAGATATGACGAATTAAGCAATGACGGCCTATGCCAGGTCAAAGTCAGTTTTTAAATGTCGGTTTGTCAAAATAATTCTTTAATTCAATATCTAAATCAAATTCGTAAGTAAATAACAAAGTTACGACAACCGAAACAAATCTCAATAATTTGACAGTGACGTTCAAGGTCATTTAAAGGTCAATGTCATATCTAAAATAATCAACAAGCAGGTAATGTCATAAAGAGTCCTTTGTTCGAGTATGTATCGAATCCGTAAGTAAATAGCAATAACTATTTAAGTTAAATGCAATAATTTAACCTTAACGGTCAAAGTCATTTAAAGGTGAATGTCACATGTGAATTATTCATCATTTTGGTTTTGTTATTATAACTGTTCTTTTGTCAAATATAAGTCTTATTCATAAATGAATTACAAATTTATGGCCAAAATCCACCTTTTTCACCTTAAATGTAAAGAGTGTTGTGTCTAAGTGTTAAAACAATCCATTTATTACCTACAGATGTACAGCTATTATAACTGAAAAAGTAAAGATACAATAAACGGACCTTCAATTTCAATGCAATTTGTGAGTCAATGTCAAATTTAGATAAATCTTCTTTCAGACATTGTCCTCAGGGTAGTTTTCATCAAGTTTGAACACAACAATGTTAAATATTATTATTATAGCAAAACATTATGTAAAAGTGAATATCTGAGATAACGTCAATTTGGTTTACTTGAAGGTCTGAACTAAATGATTATTGTGACTAATAATAAGGACAAGTTATGAGAATATCATATAGAATAACGTGAAGGATTTTACATGAATTTCTGTCCTGATTAAAATGACCTTTTTGTAGATATAACTAATGATTTATCAAATATATTATATATTCTATGCTTACGATTCTTTCAAGCCGATATCGAGAATGAATTTGCGAAATAAACTATAAAGTGCCGTAGAATGTTGATTAAACTGTTAACGTGGTTGAAGTAGTAATATATTTTTTAATGTCGAGCGCACTCATTTTTCTTCAAATAATCTTAGCTGAAAAAAGCGTTCGAGACAGGTTTGCTAGTGGAATAAAAGTTTTTTATTTGTTATTTTTATTTTATATGAAACCTATAAGTTAGTAAGTATGTATGTCTATAGATAACTTTAATTGAACATGAACCTTTGAATAGGTAAACGGTCAACATTACGCTTTGAATAGCACATTTTGTATAAAATCATCCGTACTGTATGTACACTTGTGAGATATATGGAGAAATTGAAAGTTATTTACGGGGAATAGGTTAATAGAAAACAATGCAGTCCACCGCTTTGTCATTGAAATACTATTGTAAAAAAGGTGTTAAACTAAAAAGTAAGAAATAAAAAAGATTATGATTAAATTAAATCTCTTACTTTTAAATTCTTTAATGTGCAGCAAAAACATCAATAACTGATAAAGCTCGGACTCAAAACATCAACTGTAGACTTCACCTCAGACCTGAGTCAACAAATATTTGCATATCAGGCACGTGTATTGAAAATGATATATTTTGATATAACAAGTCAATGGTTTTTCCCTTCCGATTTAAAATCACCTATGTTAA